ACAATCAAGACACAAGACAGGGTTTGGCAAACTGGCTGAGAGACCATGTCTGGCCCTTGGACGCTTTTCTAGGGTCACTGTAACACCTGATCATTAATTTCAAACCCTAAATTGTTTATCTTCTGACCCTTTGCAGAATATATATGATGGTAGTTGTAGATCTTAATGTATGTTTTCTATCAAAGCAAGATATTTCCTTTCTAGTTATGCTTTGCTGAACATCTTTATCACGAATACATTAAATTTTGCCAGATGCATTTTCTGCAACGACTGAGAAGTGTTCAGTGTTCCTTGTGTTATTTTTGTCTAAATTTCATTAGAATAATTCTTGCCTCTTAAATGTTCCTTCCTCTTATATTGTTGTAAATGTTTGGTTCACACTGGTATTCTTCCTTTCTTAAATGTACGGTAGAATTCACAAGGAAGCAACTGTACCTAAAACCTTGTTAGAAGATTTGTACCTATAAATTCCCTTTCTTAAGTAACTATAGGACAAGCCAGGTTACGCTATGTCCTCGTGAATCACTTTAGACATCTGTGTCTTTCAGGGAGAATATTGAACCCACTGGAGTTGTGAAATTTCATTTATTTGTTATCTTTTAAAAATCTGTATAATCTGTATCGATGGCCCTCCTCTTATTTCTAATATTGATCATGTGCATCTTTATTTATTTCCTGATTATCATTCTAGCTAGTATATAATCAACTTTGACTATTTCAGTCCATCTAGATTCAGTTTTCATTGATTTTCTCCTCTCAAGATCTATGTTTTAAAATTCATTGATTACTGCTGCCGACTATTTTAGTTTCTTTCTCCTGCCTGTTTTGAACTTAACTTCCTCTTTTTATCATAATGTCATAATTAAAGCTGAGATCACTGGGTTGAGAAACTTAGTCTTTTCTCGTAAAATATTTAGACCTATGAAGTCCACTCCAAGTACTCTGTTAGCTACATCACAGATGTTTTTGGTTATATTTTCATTTTCAACCAATCCAAAATATTTTCTTGTTTTAAATTTTATTTATTTTATTTTATCTTTCTCATTAGCATGCACCCCCTCTGGTGTCTCTTCCACCTGCACCAATGTCTTGTTGACCGAGGGTTATTGGAAATGCACCGTTTAATGGCAGAATAGTTGGCATTTTCCAGATGCATTTCACAGTCGATGTGTTGTTTATCATGTCGCCATAGAACACACTTTGTATGATTTCACCTGGCGTGAGTATTTGAGATTTCCTTCGTGGTCCACACCTTAGCCTATCTTGGTACGTGTTCCACACGGAGTTGAAAAAATGTGTGGTCTGCTGTTGTCGACTTGTTAACGGTGTTATTGGGGACTTCCGGAGCCTTGGTGACTGCTGCCTACTGCTTTAGTTGGTTACAGAAAGAAATAAAGTTTCTAACTGTAACGGTAACTTTATTTGTTATTTCAGTTCTAAGAATGATAGCATCTTGCATTATCAGATGATTTGGTTAGTTGTATCCACATGTAGTATTGTTCTGTCTTCTCAGTGAATTGACCTCATCAGCGTTACATGGTAACCCTTTACATACCTAGTAACGTTTCTTCCGAAATATATCTGCTCATATTAATATGGCCCCTCGAGCTTTCTCTTCATTAGTGTCTCATGGTATCTTTACTATGTCTTTACATTTAACCTACGGATGAATTATGAGATAGTTGTGATTTGCGTTTTTATCTTGTAAGGCCGTCTGTCTTTCAATCATTGTGTTCAGAGCACACATTTTACTCAATGTAGTTGTTGATGAGGGTGGATTTAAAATCCATTTCATAATGCTCCCTTTTCTTATTGGCTCCATCTGTTCCTTGTTGCATTAAAAAATTTGTTTTCTGCCTATTCACGAATAGAGTATTTTTTATAACTCCATGCTTATTTACATTTCTAGCTCTTTATTAATATTCTTAAACTATTTGAAAAGACTTTCATAGGATTATGAAATTTTAATTTATCACTGTCTTCAAATAATATTATTTTGTTTTACATGTAGTAAAACCTTGTAATATTATGTTACAAATTTCACTCTTTCATCTGTGCTAATGTTGTTATATATTTTACTTTTATATATGTTGCATGCTTTATAAACCACAATAAATTGGTATTGTTTTATCTTTAGGCAGTCAGTTAAATATTTAAGTAATTCAATTAAAAATATTTTTTGACATTTATTTTTACTTTAGCCATTTCCAGATTTAGATTTTCATTTATTTTTATAAACCTAAGTTTCTGTTTGGAATCACATAACTTTTGCCCACAAATATCCCTTTAGCATTTCTTGTAGCATGGGTATTATGGCAACAATTTTTCATTGTCTAAAAAGTGTCTTTTGTTCATCTTTGTTTATTAGAACTATGTCCTCTGTGTATAGAATTCTGGGTTGACATTTTTTTCTTTCAGCACTTCAGTGACGTCACTCTGTCTTACATAGTTTAAGACAAGTTTGATGTTGGTCTTATATTATTCCTTTGTATGCAGTCTGTCTTTTATTTATTTACTTTTTGATATTTTGTTCAGATAGAGTGGGGGAGAGAGAGAGAGAGAGAGAGAGAGAGAGAAACATCGATGTGAAAGGGACATGTTGAGTGGTCGCCACCCTCACAACCCAACCAGGGCCGGGGACAAACTGCAACCGAGGTACATGCCCTTAGCGGGAACTGAACCCAGGTCTCCCCAGACCGCAGGCCGATGCTCTAACTGCTGAGCCACACCGGCCAGGGCTGTCTTTTATTTTTATCTGACCCACTCCAATGCCTTCAGTACTTTTTCTTATCTTTTTGAAAACAGTGTAAACATGATGAATCATGCGGTGTGTGTGCTGTGTTTTGAGGTTCTAGATTCTACTTGTGCAGAAGACTAGGCAAAAACACATGGCATTTCTGCCTGAAAATGGACATGAATCTTCTGCTAGAACATTAGCGCAAGAATGTGAGGCCATATCGTCAGGAGCTGAGCTGGGTTTGGGGTCTTTGCTGCTTCAGTTTCAAGGCACCATATACGTCTGCTTAGAGTGGTGGTGTGGACTCCATTCTGTGTCCCCCTCAAATCATATGTTGAAAGCCCGGCTCCCAGTGTGCATGTGTTTGGAGGTAGGGCCTTTGGGAGGAATTCGGTTTTGAGAGTAGAGCCCTCATGAATAGGGTGTGAGCTCTCCGAAGGAGGGGTCAGAGAGTGAGCTCGCCCTCTGTGTGAAGGTACGAGCACGAGTCAGCGGTCTGCCGCGTGCAAGACGGCTCTCACCAGCACGGGGCCAGGCTGATCCCCCGAGCTCAGACTTCAGCCCCCAGAACTGGGATAAATAAACTTCTGTTTTTATAAGACACCCAGTCAAGGATACTTCGTTACAACATCTGACATGACCGAGAGGGGTCGGGAAGAGGGAAATAGCACTCCTGTTCCAGGCAGAGCCTCTGACTCCTCTGGTGCACCGACGCCGCGGGGGTGGAGGGGGTCTCTATCCATGCGTCCGCACTCCTCCAGCCGTTAGTGGGTTCCGCCCGGGACCTGCGTCTGTTGGCCTGGTGAGGGAGCAGCAGGAAGACTTTGCTGTTCCGGTCTAGGGTCAGACTTGGGTAGGCCTACGCCTGGACGCTGGGGATGGAGTTTCTCAATGATCCGCACCTTCCCTCTCGTGGCAGAACGTCTTTGCCAGTCCTGGGCAGACGAGAGTTGCTTGACCTTCCCCCTTTGACAGGAACTCTAATGATACTGGTGCGTATCCTAGGCCCGGGGTGTGTCCTGCTTTTCCAATAGGACCAAGGCGTTCTGACCCTTCAGGGACAGGAGCCTGGGTAGGGCCTCATGCACCCCCATCCCCAGATCGGCCCCTGGAGCAGAGGGTGGGTCTGTGGAAGGGGGAGTAAGGGCAGATTCCCCTGGTGCCTGTGACCCAGGGGTTTCACCCTGTCGGGTACACACTCGGCCTGTAGCGGTTTGTGTAAAACCTCTTTGAATCTCCTCACTCCTGCCGAATGCCCTCCCACCCTCCTCTGCCGCGGACGACCTGGTCCTCACACTGCGACTCCCTTTGGAGAAACCCAGCTCTCCTTCCCAGTGCGCGCTCCTGGGTGTCTCATCTCTTTCCTGGGCTCGTGACAAGTTACGGTTTTATAGTTCCCGTGACGTGTTCTTGCTTGTAGTGTCCGACAGATGTGAAAATCTGCGCTCCACATTTGGCTTTCCATGCTATCATTCTTCTAAGAATCTTACCGTTGTCTTGCATTCCTGTATCTATTCTTTCATATTTCCCGATTCTTTTAATATTACCTGGTTCTAGATACTCTGACGCGTCCTTCTTATCATCAGGTTATAAAAACAGACGTATCAAATGTCAATGAGATTATGGAAATAGGATAATGATATACAGTGATATTTTACAAGGACTGCCATGGATTTAAAAGAACAAAACCACCTCCTATTAAAAATATGACCATAGTAAAGGAAAGGGATCCCCCCCCCCCAGTTGTAGCTTTAAAGGTAACATTATGTGAAGCACCACGAGTGTGACCGTTGCCTCTTGTGCAAGCAGGTCCCCCAGGAGCTCACTGCTTGTAACAGCCCAGCAAGGTACCCTGTGTCGAGCCAGACACACCTACTAGATACATTGTTTTTTATTTGGGATGGAGAATGTCTTAAAGTACTTGTTTCCAAGTAAATGTTGATATTTTTTATGAAAAAAAAAATAAATAACGAAAGAGGAATTACAGTTTGGTTAAAAAATTGCACATTCTTATGACTTTTTCGAATGCTAGCGAAAAGAACGCGAAGATGCCCGGACAGTATTCTCTGCCGTTAGTGGAGAGCGCAGACGGTCCGGGAATCTGGCTGGGACTCAGGAGCATGACCTCCAGGGACAGAGGTTACAGTAGGGCAACTAGACGGTCTCTGACAGATCCAAGCGTCTATCATTCTTAAGTTGTAACTCTGTTTTTAGTAAATCGATTGCAAAGTCCGCTGACCACGCACCTTTTTTGTAATTACAGGTTTTATCTGGGGAGAAATAAAGCAAATGTGGGATGGCGGACTTCAAGACTACATTCACGACTGGTGGAATCTCATGGACTTCGTGATGAACTCCCTATACTTAGCAACAATCTCCTTGAAAATCGTCGCGTTTGTGAAGGTAACTATGGCTTCTGTTGTTGGCGACACAGAAATTCTGATACGTGTTGATATACCTTCGATTGCTTTCAATGTTATTCCTATCGTTACTTAGAGTGTTATTTATCTACGTGATATTCATGAGCTCATGACCTCATCGACAGAAAGATATAAACTACATAGACGATGCATAACGTATCATCGTAATACAAATGTAATGGACACTTAGAAGCTGTCAACCAATTTCCTTGTGTCTAAACTGAATGATGCCCCCAAAGCATACACAATAACTGAAAGGTTAAAGTTGGTGGTTTGTGGGGTGCAAGCATGCCAAATAGCAATCTCAGATGGTGAATAAGGGGAAATTGGGTTTATTTAAAAAGAAGGGGCCCTGTCCGGTTTGGCTCAGCGGTTAGAGCACTGGCCCATGGACCAGAGAGTCCCGGGTTCGGTTCCCGCTAAGAGCACGTACCTCAGTTGCAGTTTGTCCCCGGCCCTGGTTGGGGTTGTGTGGGTGGCAGCCACTCGATGTGTCCCTTTCACGTTGATGTTTCTCTCTCTTCCTCCCTTTCTCCTTCTTTCTCTATCTAAAGATGAATGCAAAAAGTGTCCTCGGGTGAGGATGGATGGATGAATGAATGAATGAATGAATGAATGAATGAATGAATGAATAAATAAATAAATAAAGAGAAGGGGATGGGAGATGGGACTACCCAAAGGGAAGGGCTACCCAGACCCAGCTCCGGGCCATGGGGTGTGGGGTGGATGATGGCAGCCCCTAGGAGCTGGGGTTTTGATTTATCTGCGTCCACTGGTGGGAAGCTTTTGTCCTCAGTGGGTTTTGGGGTCTGGGTTGGTGGGTTTGGGCAGGGGGCTGGGTCTACAGGAATGTGGGTGTGCGAAGGGGTGCTTCCTGGTGTCCAGAGGCATCTCTTGTCCTGCAAGTTCTCCCGTGGCGGGAGGTTTGGTCTTTGCTCTCCTGGGGCAGGAAGACTTGCAAAAATGGCCCTTAGGAATCCTATTGCCCCGTAAACCTAACATTTCCCTCCTCTTTCTGTTGGTTCGTAATTATTCTTATGGAATCGGGGTGGAGGTCTCTTTCTTCTGTAGCTGTTTCCTGCTGGGCTGTGGGTGTAGAGCTGCCCCTAAGCCATGTTAGTGTGTCAGGGATTGGGGACTAAGGGGGGGGGGAGCTCTGCAGGCCCTGGTCAGGGCTGTCCGCGTGTCCACGATCATATCGGCTTCGGAGAACGGCAAGCAGAGTGCAGACGGGCTTCCAAAGTGAGATCAGTTGTGTAAACAGTTAATCGGGTGTTTAATGAGGAATGTGCCCGTGGAAACCGGGGAAAGCCAGTTTCTGCGTCTGCAAGACTATCCGTGAAGAAGCTTCAGGTTTCTTTGCTGGAGGAAAACAAGCCATGACAAACCGCACAACATCTGATGCTCGGGTAAACGCTGTAGGATCAACATTGCATTTTTTAAAAATTCCAAGTCAAAGGACAGGAAAGTAAAAAAGGAAACAGTTTGAACGATTGAAGACAATTAGAAGAATGCAGGAACCAGTAATTCACAGCTAAAATCAAAATTTTCAACTTTAAAGACATTCACAATCGGGCATTGTGATGCTCATTGAAACACATTCTCTCCCTAAAATCACCCTTATTTTTATTAAAGGGACTGCATTTGGTCTGGTTTTAATTCGGCCAGATTATTTGTATAAACATAACAAGGATAATCAATGGATCAGCTTTCTCAAATTTGCTTGGCTGGAATGCCATTTGTTCAAAAGGAACCTTTAGATTGAGCTCTATGAGAGCAGTCAGCCCGTCGGGGCGAGAAGCCAACCCTCACAGCGGCCCTCGGGCTGTGCCTTGGAACACCTGCAGATCTGGGTCATGTCCTCAAGCCCTTGAGGTTCCCAACGTGTTGAGGTCCCTTCTCTGCCATCTTCCAAGACAGCGACCTTCGTCCTTAACTGGAAAGACGGCCGTGAACCACCGGCCAAGCACGGTAACAGGCCATTCCCCGCAAGTGGCTTCTGATGGGCTTTGCTCCCTCTTGAGTGAATGAATCCCAATTCCTAAGGCTTTTTGGTGACATCCAGAGTCCAGACATGTCTCCCTTGACCATGACACTCTAGTCAAAGACTCGGTTCACAAAACCACAATTGGAGCCTGGTTTCATGAGTTCTATGTTAAAGAGAACAGATTCCTATTGCATTTGTGCAAATACGCATATTGTCATGGAAATAACAATCACTCATCGAGAGTTGCCAAGTTCTGCAGGGATTAGGTAGGGAGGAAAATATAAACCCTTCAATATTGCTTGAGGATGTAATTTGCCAAATTGTTGTAGGGAAATAAAAACAGGCTTCTCTAAATCTGGAAAACAAAAAGATTTGTTCATGCATCCAGTTATTTTATATTTCAAAGAGATGAACTGCTTAGATGTCTGTAATCTAGAGTAAATCAGACTCCTTCTCACGAACCTTTCCAAAGATGTAACATATTTGCAAATGCATCAGAGTAAGACAGTGGCTGCCTATAAATGATCAAATGTAAAATGATGTGGTTATAGACTTGATTATAATACAATCGATAAAGAACTCTGCTTTTCTATAAGATATAATACTCCGAGATAACAGTTTCTTGGTAAATAATAATTATGAAATGATACAAAAGAACAATACAAAGTTTACGTTTTCAGATTCAGTACACAATTTCAATGCATATCGAACAAATTGCATAGGCCAGATTCTAAAACACATGGCTCCTTGGAAGTGTGCACTGAACACTGAAGCAATTCACCAACACCCCACTTGGGGCCCACAGACACCTGCAGCACCACTGCGGAGGCCCCCAGGGACCCTCACTCTCGCCTTGCACAGAGTCTCTGACAGGACACCTGCCAGCCGATAGTTTCCTGTTTGAACATGGCTTTGAATCTTTGTAAGTTCCTTCCTAGAGCAGACTGAATTTTCCAGAACACCCATTTCAATTAAAATGTATGTACATACGTAGAGCATAGTTATTATGACTAATTTTTATTTGGCAAAGCTCCTCGTGTAATTTCAAGTCTGTTAAAGAGGACTGACTAGTTTTAAAATTTTTATAAGGAGAGAGAATAAATCCTTGAAGTATGCCTGGGTCCATAGGAATAAAGTCCTTTCTCACTTAAAGGACTTTTAATATTTAAACTGTGGGAAGATTATCAAATATACTTAACCAAAAGAACATGGCATAAACGCTTTATGAATTGACATAAAACAAACACATATTTTATGGTGATAACTCTGAAAGACATCAAACTTAAACTGGTTTTAGTAACAAGTATCTTGTCCAGATTACAGGCTCCTGCTCACCCTACATGCGTGTTTAATCTCTTTAGCCAATAAAAGAGCATCCCGTAGTAATGCCGTCGGCGGCAGGGAACACACCACCTGTAATACACAGCGAGGAATGTACCACATAAAGACCATACACATAATCTGAATTCCTAATTTTTGTCAAGTTTCAGCACTTTGGGAGGAATGTGTGTGGGGGCTGCAGGGGCTGGTCCCCAGCAAGACCCAGCCCAGTTCCGACAATCAGGTGGTTAATCTTTCCATGAGGTCCAGGAGCCCGGACAGCATTCCCGGGGTGAATGCAGAGGCACACACCTCCCAGCCAGGGCAGAGCGGGCTTTTCTTGTTTTCTTGTTGTTGTTGTTGTTTTGTGTGTGGTACGTGCTCCTAGTGGGCACTGAACCCGGGACTCTCTGGTCCGCAGGCCGACGCTCTACCGCTGAGCCAAACTGGCCAGGGCGAGCTTTTCTTTCATCAGAACACAGCAACCACAACTAATTGCAAAGGATGATTCATGTTTCTTGTAACCACAGCTGTCCGCCACCATGATTAGTTCTCCGATCTACTCTCTCCCGTCGCTTGTCCCTTTCAGAGGTGTTTACCTGTGTCCTGACCAGGGGATTAGCCAGGTGCCCTCGGAGTGGACTCACCCACTCAGGCAGGGGACTCAACTCCACGCTGAGCCAACAAGCAGGAGAAAGGGGACCCTTCTGACGTGTGGGGTGATCAGACCCTGACAGCAGGCCCTGTCACCCAGGTGTGTCCTGGGAAGTCATGTGGGCGGGGACCCATGTCCAGAGAGCAGGTTTACCTTCCACGTCAGCGTCGATGAGGCTTGTTCTGATGAAGGGTTTGCTCCGCAGCTGACAGGGGGGTTCTCCCACAGGATATCGAGGGCAAGAGAAAGTGTAGTAGAAGGAATCTGAGGTCCCCCAGAGAGAAACCAGGTGGAACCAGGAGGACTGGGGCTGGACTGTGTTTCTATAAATGTAACAGCCATTATTAGAGTAACTCATTGTCAATCCTGGTCTCATAAAAATACGTAAATATGTTTCTATACCTTATGCCTCCTATTGTCAAAATCATATAATCTCTCTCCAGCTTAATTTGAACTTTTAACTTTTAGAAACCTCGATTTCCAACGATTACCATAAGAATAAATATGATATTTATGAACATGTTTTAAACATTTTACTTTTAAGAAACACACTTTCAACAAAGCTCATCACATTACTAGCTCCAAATTTACTTTCCAGTAAACATTCAAAAGCAGATACAGTTAAGACTTAACTAGCAATCAATGTTTCCATATTTCGTGTTATTTCAAAACATCTAAATAATCAATCGCTTTGATCGAAATTCATTCATTTAGAAAAGAATGGCTGAAGTAAATTAAATTGATCTGTTCCCTTTTGATAGAAATAATTCCAACTCCAAGGATGGGAGAAAAAAATAAGACATTAGTTTCCTCTTGAGAGGTTTTGTAAAATCATCACTTTCCCTTTTGGTTCGGCATCTAGTTCATTTAGCCCTAAATTCATATTACCGTTCTGGAAAAAGCATATTTGGGCACCACTGATTTTTTTTAAAACGCTGCTTCTATCAGGAAAATTGGGGCAGATTTGATTAGCAAAGACATGCACCGTCCGGTAAGACTCCCAAGCTGGATGTGGACAGGT